CCTAAATTGAAATGTTTCTATCAGAATAAGTAGGTAATATGTAGTGTAAAAAGACGTCAATTTTAGTTTTAAGCCTTACTTACTAAACATAATCTTTTGTATTATTATAATTCCCATATTATTTAATTCAAAGTCTAGACAACGTATAAAAAACTTTATTTATTTATATTTTGTATAATTTTATTATATTTTTGTAAATATAGAATAAGGGCGACAAACGACCACACGGTCTACCTGATTTTAAGTGGATACTGTGGCCCTTGAACATCTACATTTATTCTCGATTAATCAAAGCAACGAAGATGGAATGCCTCGTTTCCAGGAAAAAAGGTTTTCGGTTATCCACACTAACCATACGAAACACAGCAGCATTGAGCTGCTATTTCACTCTGGTATTCTGTGAGAACGTGGTCCTAGACCAGTCGAGCCGACGCATTCGTGCTAAACTTTGATCAACATTGTTGATCGAAGGTGATAGAACCATAATACAGGGTTATTTTGCAATAACCGACCAAAGCAGACAATCGTTTTTGGACCCACTAGAAACTTTAACGTAACTTAATTTTACTACACATAAATTTTAATTTACACAAGAATTTATTATAGTAAACGGCCTAAAGATTTTATGAAAATGTAACCGAAATCATAAAATCTGAAAAAAAGTTCTTTTGATATTCGTGAATTGGCTAATGTAATATGAAAAAAATGCGTATAAAGAAGAACGAATTACTAAAAAAAATTCCATCAACCAAAGTACCTATAAATGCTGAATGTACCTACAACTTTCTTTTATACTATTAGTTATTGATCAGTGCACTATTTAAACTTATAATACGGGTGAAAACTACTAAAAAAAATCGCTTTTAGTTTGTTTTTAGGTTATTGTGATATTCATATATTAATTGTTAATTTCTCAGTATTCCCGTTAGATACGGTAAAACTAATATTACTACTGTACTCTATTGGTTATAAGGAATAAATCGACATGTGTTTCATTAGGTTACGCCTGGTTACGGTGGTAGTCCCATTCTCAATACAAAAATAAATTGTCTCCTATGCAGAGAAGGTTCAGAATATGTAATATAGACAAATGGTGAAGAAAAATTAATCAAAAAGATTTCAATAATTCTGTCCCTTTTATCTTTTAAATTCAAAATGCGTGGTAATGCATTATTTTAATTGATTTTACTGCGCACGCACACATTCGTAAGGGTAGATCGGTAGGCAACAACGTTGTTGCCCATAAATCACATTCAATTTGGGATAATTTCAAATAAAAGTAGAAGCCTTATTTACTCGTATTTTCAAAAAATGCAATAAAGTTATATCATTATTTATATATTTGAACTTAGGATTAAAATTTGGCTATTCTTTGAAAAATAACCCTGCATAGCTGCAGCGTGGCTGAAATAAAATAAAACATGCATAATCATATATACTATGTAATATGGATGTTTTATGATAACTTATTACAATAACAATTTGTTACTGAATAAATCTAATTATTATAATTAAATTCCTGAGCCATTCCAGTTTATGATAGTGAAATTATAATATGGTTGTTAGGACAGGCTGCGAAGAATACGGCACACCTTTCACTTTCTGCGTCAATAGTAGGTACATATGATATGTATTCTAAAAAGCTATTCTGTAAAAAGCTAATTAAGCCGAATAAAAGGAAAACTTACCTAAAGCATGCTCTTGCACGCTTTTCTTGATTTTATTTACTAAACATAAAAAGCCCGTAAGGCTCCATAGTTTGTACTTTTGTGTGGCCATACGTTACATTTATTTATACAATATACAATTTTTTGTTATGAAAGATTGACAATGACAATTTTCTTAAATTTATTTTATGTACAATAATATTTTCTTATTCTCTCGATATATTTTACTTCTATTTTATTTCCTTACTCGTAAATAGGGTCGTGTGCACCATGTAAAAAAATATATGATAGGTTTTCTAAAATGTAAACGAGAAATGTTGATTTATATATTTATAAAAATGCATTATAAATTTTATAATTCAATTTACTTTGGTTATTTTCCAAAATCCTTTCTTACTGGATGCTTACGTAAGAAAAAGAAATCATTGTTTCAATCTCATGGACATAAGTTCAGCGGTTTGAGGTATGCGTCTAAATACTCTAATATTTTTCGTACAAACTTTGCATTTAAAAGATTTTTTTTTAATTATTTTAATTCAACAGGGGTTTGCACCAGCTTTAAATGACCTTGTCTCATCCACCCCCGAAATGAGTTTTTGAAAAATCGCAGAATACGTTTTCATTTATTTTGTTTACAGAGTACTTTCAGTAAGTTTCGATTCAGTTGAAATAAAATAAAAAGATACAAACTGTAACACCATATTTCACCCTGTTTGGGGTTCAATTTTCCAAAACGTCTTAAAAGGTAGCTACTGTCCGAATTTCAGATTTCAACGTCTCGAGGTTGTGCGTTGATAGATGTGTCAGTCACTCAAGACATCTTTTTTCAGTTTCAGTTAAAAGTAGATAAAAAACAAAACAGTGAAGTGTAAACACATAAAAGATCTTTGAAGGTCATATGTTTATTTAGATTAATATAAAATAAAACTTTTATTTCACAACTGAATATGCCACTAAAATAAATATGAAAAAGGGAGCCAAGTGTAGTTTCTCAAGTCATAGGATCTATAGGGATGTAATTGGAACTGCTATGGAGCCTGGCGCTGGCGCTCGTTCAGATCATAACTCTTTTATCGGCGAAGCCAACAACCTTAAACGTCGTTTGTACCGAATTTGGCCACTTTTCACATTTAATATTTTAGTGGGTATCATTTAAGCATTTCATATACCTATCTACATATATGCCTCTTACAACACTCACGGGACTAAATGAGGTGATATGGTAATCTTTCGCCACCATAACACAATATTACTATTAAGTATTTCTTAAAGTATTTATATAGTCAAGCTGCTTATGTATACTCTAAGATTTCATAGCTTTGTTTTTAATGTTCGGATTAGGACGAGTTTTTATATCGTTATATAAATTTATATAACTCCTAAATTAGATGAAACTCAAAGAACGTCGTACAGCAGTTACTGTGCGCATCTACATAATTAATACTAAAAAAACTTAGAAAGTATAATGTATGTTCTGTATCTATGTACTACATATAATTACTTAATTGATAATAGAATTGCAACAACTTCTGAAAAATTGATATTTTCTCTCAAAATATTATTAAAATATTAATAGATAGATACTATTTAAAGTTATAAATTAAAAAAATATATTCAGTAGTTATCATTTCATGCAAGTTCAAGTTCTTTTTACGCATTTCACTAGATACTTTTGTTATGATCTACAAATATCAACTGGTTTCTATCCCTATATTTAGGTATGCTAATAAGATATTATGGTGCGTCTCCACCAAAGTTTTCAACATTTGTCAACACGTGTTGCCGACAAATGTTATAAATTTCTCATTACGATCTTGTAGGCCTTTTATACCCATAATAGAAGGCTATACGGTGTACGGTGGAAAGCGCCGCGGAATCCTCTATAAGCTGTAAGCTTTAGACGTGCCCTAGTTATCGCTAATCACATACATCTCCATAATGAATTTATAATAAAATGTAAATCATATATGTAGCCAATAGAGTCAGTGTAGAGAAAGTAAATCAAAGGTGAAGTTTTTATTTATTATCAAGATTATAATTATAAATTATAAAACATATATTGTCGTAGACTGTTTTCCTTTTCCTTCTTAGGTATAATGGTCGTAAACGCGTTTGCTGAGAGAGAGAGAGCTCATAAGATCCTGAGTTTGAATCCCAAAACTTAGTTATTGGGATTTTCTATCAAGAAATTCTTAGTACCAACATGAAGTCAGGAAATTGTAGGTATTTTACCTCCGTGCATTTAAAAGCACGTAGGTAAAGTAAAGCCGTAGGTCCTGCACCTAATCTCTCTCTCTTTCTCTCTCTCTCTCTCTCTCTCTCTCTCTCTCTCTCTCTCTCTCTCTCTCTCTCTCTCTGATCGTCTCCAATTGCTGTTCCATCGATGAGAGTGAGGGAATAGAAAGTGCACCTGTGCTTGCGTACAAACTCATGCACTATAATTATATATATTTTTTTAATATAATTCTATACAATACAATACAATACAATACTCTTTATTGTACACCAAGAAAAGATAAAAACATCAAAAATAAAAAATAACAACTATTGAGGGAAATACAAATGGCGGTCTTACAATCTACATAGCAATCTCTTCCAGACAACCCAGTAATTGTTTCTGTTCTGCGCAAAATTCGGTCTTGTGGACTTTACTATTGTTGTTTATAAATGACTAAACAACACTATCATGTACTGTAAAGATCAACTTTATTTAAAAATAAACTTAATTTATTTTATTACATACGAGTATTATTCTATATCAACCTCAATAACCAAGGCAGCCGTGGTGTAGAGTGGCCTCCCACTAGATTCAGTGATGAACTGGTAAGAGATGCAGGAAGTCGATGGATGCAGGTAGTTTAAGGATCGTGTTTTGTTGCGTGCCTTGGGGAAGTCCTATGTGCAGCAGCAGTTAATTTGTGAAGGGTTGTAATGATGATGATGATGATGTTAATTCTTTATTTTTTCCACACGCTTTTGATATACGCAACGATGTATTTAGAAAACAAATCATTTACACAGAGTAATTGTAATGATCACAAAATTGTAATAAATAGTTTCCTTCAAGTCCATGATCGAGTCGTAGATGGCCTAGCGCCTAACTAAACTGCAATCAGCAAACTGTATTTTGCATGTTTACCTCGTTATTAGAGAGTGGCCCAGTGAGCAAGTGATTGGATCGGATTATTTGTTACAAACGGATCGTCGCTTTGCTGACGCATCCAACCGTCTCGGGGACTAAGGAAACCAATTACATAAATTGCTTTAGAAAACGAAGTGTTAACGCGTGACAATGGAGCTATTTAACTAATGTAGGGCGTGGTAAATTCGCAGAGGTGCTGCATCTAATCGGAGACCCGGATTTCCGCGCGGTACGGCTCCGATGGGAGTACGGGGAGAACGATGCTGACCAGCGGATGAAGGTGCTGGCGTTCCAAGTGCACTACTGCGAGTTGCAGGCTTGGGGACAGTACCGGTGTCGCACTAAAGTAAGTTAATATTTTTATTAGTATGTATACCCATCCCACTTTTATAGTTACCTTGCAAGGTGACCATAAAAATGGTCCATAAATCTACTCTATATAATATCTACAAGAGTATGAAATTTTTTGCAATTTCATATTCTTGTAGATATTTAATATTGTGATGTTTGTTATATATTTAGTTTTCTAATGATAAATGTGCCATCATATCGACCACAGACATTTTTCCGCTATAAATCCAGAATTTTATGGGCCACAGCATTTATTTACCATCGGGTGAAATGTTTGATCTTTTGTCACTGATTCCATGTATTTTTTTTCTGTATGTAAGTACATATTACAAAATCAATAAATTAAATTATAATAATTATAAATTCAATGCCATAAAAATTAAGATACTAACCCAAGCATTTAGATTAATCTATATGACGAATGTAATTAACTCTTCAAGTATAGGTACACATCTACTTATGTATACTCTTAGAAGTTAGGCTGGGTGTTCCTATTTTTGTCCGTTTTAAAATTGGTTTTTGATAGGCAAATTATTACCTACATTTAGAATCTGAAAAAAATATGTTTGTAGATACATTCTTTCTCCTTACGATATACCCGGTCAATACACGATACAATACAATTTTCTTGATAGAAAAGATTATCGAACTACGTTCGATTTGCAGATTTTTACAAGCCAAATTTCATCAACAAGTGCTAATACTCATTTTTTTCTATAAAAAATATCAATTTATAGATAATTCAATTTGGAATCGATTCCACACGATCGTTGGAAACCTGACCGTTGGAGAACGCTATGTAGGTTCAACTGAGCATAGCTCTAAGTCACAAATGAATTTATTCTAGACACCAGAAGTCTCTACAATAAAGAAAAGTCTCTAGAAACAGCATGCAGACGCAGCTTAGAAGAGAAATCAGTCCTTTTTCGTCTTTCTTGAAAAATAAGATAATTTGTTTCGCTTTTGCTTCTGTTCCACGCTTGTAGTGAAGTGCCAAGCGGAAGGGAAATTACATAGCTCCTGAAGAACGTTAATTAACGATTCTCCACTTACTTATTTTATAGGATAAGGGTCACAAACGAGCGCACAGTCCACCTGATGGTAAGTGGATACTGTCTGTGACCCATATACAACATCTATTCTCGATTACGAATTAAAATGCAAATGCGTTGTCACCCGTGTGGACTAAGATGGAATACCTCGTATATAAAGTATAAAAAGTAGCCTCGTTTCTCTACCCTCACCATACGAAACAGTGCAACAGAGAGCTGCGGTCCTTACACTGGTATTATGTAAATGTGTGGTCCTTCCTCGGTCGAGCCGACCCATTCGTACTAAAACTATAAGCTGCACGCCTCTACTACGTTGACGACACGTCCAAGTCTTGTCTTCACTGGCAAAAGCTGTGTCGTAATTGTATCCACAACAGGTACCTTGACGTTTTTAAAATGCTGGGAAGCCATTTTATATCATTCAGATTGACGTTCGGGACTTCATAGGGATAATGTCGAATGAGTACACAGTATAATGCTCAAGCTGTTAATCTTCGACTTAGACAGTCAAAAACCACTTCTGATTCTGACCAACTAATGAACCGCGCTCACTCTGAATTAGCTGTTTAATCCTAATAAATTTTGTTTGTCACAACATCCCCATGCTACTCTGCTTCGTCAAACTCACGAACTTTTTAGATAAATTGCATCATAGCACCAGAAACAACTTCGAATTGAATTGTTAATTTGGCAAAACAAGGTGACCACTTCATCGTAACTCGTAGCAATCTAATTGACACAGCAACTCTACAGAAATTCTCCGTTAGATAGCAGACACTGCAATGCCGGCAAATGTTATTACACCAATTTTTAAACTATACTACAAATTTAGAACGTATTACGTGTTAGTTGCAGAAAGCATAGATAAGCGTGTATTATAGATGTCTTGATTTTTCGTCGTTCTAACTTAATATTTTTCTGGAATGAAAATTATATGAACTTTCGGGGTGCTAGACTCTTTGAGCTGCGATGCTCGTCGCCCTCGTCGCCCACGCTTTCCGCCGCTTTTTGTAAGAACACCCATTCAAATCAGTCACTTTAAATCTACGCACTTTCTTTAGTCTGAGTCAGATCAGATTTTTTAAAGATGTTATAAAAACAAATAAAACAAATTCTACTGGCATCTATTATAACAAATAAAAGCAACATTTAAGCAAGCACATAAGCCTTTTTAAAGTTTTCATCATCATCATTACAGCCTATGTTAATGTATCCAAGCTCAAACATATATTTACGTTTTGAGAAGGTCCAGTTCTGAATTTTTAATGAGTTTTTTTATTTCCCCTGTGGTAATAAACATTGCACATCGATAAATTGCTGTACATTTTGGAGGAATATTTTTTTTTAACATCCACACTTTATTCGAGGGAAATTTCTCCCTTATTTTTCAGTTGCGCACCTTAAGAGTAAGACTTTGTGGATACTAGACTAGTGAATCAGTTTAATTACATAGACACTCGACTAAAATCACACACCACACCCACACACACACCGCCCTCATCACAGGTGACACTCGGGGCTTGAAACTCCTTGTAAGATATTTATTCAGAAGACATTTAATTTGTTCCCTCAAATGCACATTATTTATATGTTGCGTGTTTCGACAATTTTCAAACAATTCTATTTCAAATATCAGGGACGCCCTGATTTCGTATCTGACATTGGAACGGGATATAATAGCGCTGGTTTGCGTGCCAAAGCGTGACCGTAACGTGAACAGTTCCGCCGGCCGCAGGCCTAAATAATGCACATTATTATATTTACGTGCTTTACCCCTCTGCAAAAATAATGCACCCAATACCTTTTTACCATGAAGATAATTCATCTTCACTTCATAGACTTTGAAATGAAATGAAATATTTTTTTTTCTCTCATTTCATAGACTTATCAGTGGCGTGGAGGACCACGCTCTCACAGAATAGTAGTGTTTCGTATGGTGACTGCAGAGTGTAGAGAGAACCTGAGACATTTTTTACTGGAAACGAGGCATTCCATGTCATGTTTTTTGTATAGAATAGGGGTGACAAACGATCACACAGTCCACCTCATGGTAAATGGATGCTGAGGTCCATAGACATCTATATGTATCCTCGATCAAGAATCAAAATTCAGATGAGTTGTCACCCCTTCGGTTCTCTACACACTTTACACTCACTATACGAAACACGGCAGCATTAAACTGTTATTTCACGCTGGTGTTCTGTGACAGCGTGGTCCTACATATATCGAGCCAACCTATAAGTGCTATAACCATAACATAGCTGCAGCATGGTTCTACCATGTATGAGCTATTTAAGCTTATTATGCTTTAAATCACGCATCACTCATCTACATTTTATCGCTCTTTATAAAAGACCCCCACACCAGGACTTTCTCCTGTATCGTGGAGGCAGCTTACAAACATAAATTGCACGGGGACAAATATCCAGACCCGGAGCAGTTATTTAAAGCCATGCAAATACTTGTACCGTGCGGGATTTTGATTTTGATTCCTAATGGAGAATTCTGAATTCTATGGGCCACAGCATCCACTTACCATCAAATGTATTGTATACTTGTTTGCCACCCTAATTCTATATAAACAGCATTTGTTAACAAGTATAACTTACGTCTGGTTACAGCCATTGCCACTACAAGTTCTATGTAAAATTTGTGCGTAATTTTACATAGAGCTTCGCTCGCGTTGGCTTCAATTCAGAAATATCATTAATACTACTCCAATGAAATGTTAAAATTTCATAAATGTAGTTCTATTCACGATGAACGTGTGACAGGGACTATATTCGTGAACGGGAGTAGAAATATAGAGAAGATGGGCAGCAGCGTCTTTCTGATTACAGTTCAAAATAATAAAATGATGCAGTTGGCAACCCGCCTGCCAAGCGTGGCAACAACGGACAATATCCAACTTATTTCGTAATCTATGGAGGGAATCGATATGATGAATGGGAGTAGAAATATATTAGCAATGTAGAGGCGGCGAAATAGAAACCAATACCACATTTCGTCTCGTGGGTGCAAATATCCCGCCTATTTGACAAATAATGGGAGAAGCCTATAGGAGTAGCAGTGGATACGCCTATCAAAAGTAAAAAGTAGCAGCCTACATACATCCCACTACTGGGGAAAGGCCACAGTGAGTTTTAGGACAAAAAAGAGTTGATTGACTCCAACGCAGGTTGACCGACTTCACATCAGTATACCTTAAATTGATTTCCGAAATATTTTTTAACTTCTCAAATATGCAGGTTTTCTCGAGATATTTTTTTCACCACACACACTTATGTCTTACACCTCTCTGCAGTTGGATAGATTTCGTACTCTGGTTCTGTACTCGGATAGCCATCATAGCCCTACTGTAAAAACACTTCAGCACTTCGATATACCGACAGTAAACTTGGCACCACTGAAGTGACTGCAGCACCGCCCAAATTTCAACGGAATCAAAGGCTTCCTCATAGTCCACATACGCAAGGCAAAGTGGCAGATTGTATTATCTCAAGTAAAATTTTATCGTAAAAGCAATTTAAGAAAGATGCCAAATTAGGATCTGACAAATGACTCAATAATGATCTGTGACGAATGCATGAAGTACATTGAGTGACAAACGATCATGACCCTGATAAAATGCACGGTATTGCAGCCCATTGAAAATTGCAACCAATTTCAAAGTAACAAAGCTACACGTACATTTAACCCCCCCCCCCCCCCCCCTCCCAAGGTATTGTTAGCGGAATGATTAAAAAAGGGGATGGAACCTTGCAAAGCTTACCCTACCATCTAGTATAATGCCGAACAGTGAACAATTTACGGCGCAATAGTGATAAAGATATTGTTATTGCAGGTAATAGATAACTTTGAAGAGGAGAAACCACTGAGGATCAGGCCTATCGACACAACCACAGTGACTCCTAGTACTGGCCGACGCGGGCGTTCATATAGCACCTATATTACCGGCCTGCGGATGGCCACTACGTATTCCTTTGAAGTGCGGCCGGTACAGCGCGATGCGCGCGATTTGGCTGACCCGCACTCTATCGGCTCGAAAATTATCATCGTGCCTACCAAGGGATGTAAGTTTAAGAACAATGGTTTGTGAAATAATTATTTAAATAAATACTTGCTTAATCTATCCATAAATTTAAGGATAAAATGGTTAAAATGATAAACTACAATCTTGTTTTTTTTATATTGAATCGTAACCCCTGAGAAATTTTTTTTTCTAATGCCGACGTTCGCTCGGCCAAGTAGGTACTCTACCATGAATATAAACATTCTATGTATGTATATTAAAATATTATGTAATCAGTTAGTCGGAAACGGTTCCAACATTGGGATATTTTTTGTATTTGCATAATTTTTTTACTTTTCAAGTTAAGATACTTAGGTGCATCCCTGAGATGTTTTTTCTAAGGCCGATTGAAACTACATTGTAGGTCACGCTGTTACTACTTACTTTGAACGTAATATTGTGGTTCATAATAAATAACTTCCTGATAATATTTATACTTTGTGTTTAAGTAGTAAATAAAGATTATAAGGCCATGCTAGTTTTGCCTTTTAATTGAATACGACGAACATCACCCTTGTCGTTAACAAAATTTAATTTCTTCTTCACCATCACAATTCTATTACATTTCGATTCGGAATATAACTTGAAATTGATTTAATCGAATTAAATTTAAGCTACAGTAACCTAATGGTTAAAGGACATACTGAAAGTGGTGAGTTTCCGATATTCACCTACGATCGTGCACCACTTCTACTAACACAAAGAGATTATGTTCACTTGTGAGTGTTTAACTGCAATATTTAGAACAATTTCAAGAATTGTAAAGATTTTTTTTAATACAAACAAGTTAGTGTTGTACAATACTAGTATGAAGATATTACATCACAGTTATACATCTAGACCTCACATAAATTAACATCAGAGCAGCTTTTGTCTAAGCAGACGTACCTATAGGCAGCATCTACATGTTATATTAACGATGCAATTAACAACTTGTTAATTTAAATATTTCAATGAAATTATAACAGTTTCAGCTCGAGCAACACAATGTTTGCCTCACGCAAGCGAGGTAGAGGTTTCCACTGGTCCATTCTTCGGCGGCAGAATTGCCGTGGAGGCCGCAGACGGCGGCCCAGAGCGTTGTTCCATACAAGGCAATCCAAACAGCGCTCAAGACGCATACATATTACGTATTCATCACGAAGAGTGCGGCTCGGAAGTAAACGAAACTACAGTTGCAACATACGTCATTGTGCAAGAAAATCTGCCTATACTGACTCACAGCACACGTCGGTAATTGATTAAATCTGATTTTTTTATACTTTCGCTGTACAATGTTCCTAGGTAATTGATATACATTTATTTATAAATAGAAGAAATATAATGATTTCTTACATTTAGGCGAATACCTACACATGGAATAAAACTAATTTTAGGGATTTAATAGCGTTTAAGCATTTAAGTTAAAATTAAATGCGATAACATTTGTTTTATTCTATAGAAAATATATAGTTTTTAGAACCGTTTGGTATGCTTATTTTCGACTGATATATTAACGGGCACAATACCAAACTCAATAGAGGTTTACAACAAAATTTGAAAAGGGAGCAAATATTATACAATTAATAGCACAATTACTTTTGTGGATTGTATGCTTGTCACTATAATTTATTAAAAAATATATAATTCATCAGCTTGCAAAACAGTCTCTTGTGTTTCGTATGATGGTGGCAACAACCGGAGACCCATTTTACTGGTAACGACGAATGCCGCCTTAGTCCTCAGGGGTGACAATGCATTTGCAGTTTAGTTCTTAATAAAGGATAGATAAATGTCGATGAGCAACAGCATCCACTTATCATCAGATAGATTGTATGTTCGTTTGTCGTCCTACTTATATGAAAATTATCTTATCTCTCGAAATCAAATCACTAATATTTAAAAATATATTAAGAAGCGCTTCTTAATACACCATTTGTGAACCAGCAGTAGAACGTATATAAGTTGTAAACTATACCTGTAAAGTATCAATCCATTATTACTTTATATTTCAGATTTTTGATTTTGTGTACCTACAAACCGGAAACACTTACGGTCAGAGCTGGTATCAATCTACCCAAAGCCAACCCTGGAGATGTACTTCACGAAACGATACCCTTTGGCTCTGTGGAACCATACGACAATCAAGACATGGATTATAATGATTTACAACCAGCCAGACTTGAAGCACGTAAAGAAAAAACACAAAGTAGGTTGATTTGAAAGATAAAAGTTAAGCTTTTACATACGACCGCATGGCTATGCAGTCAGAAAGGTACCTGGTCTACTATGTACGTCGCGGGTCTCGAGTTAGAATTCCAGCCAGAGCAAACTGAAATGCAAATAAATATAAAATATCACACGCACGATTTTACACGTGCAGTGAGACTCAACACATACATACAGGTTCTCGCAATACGTATCACAATGGAACTATTTTTAAAACTTTTATTTTACTTGCAATGTTTGTATGTTTGTTATGTTCAAACTGACTATGACTGCCTCGTTGGTCTAGTGGTTGTAGTAGTGCGACTGCTGATCATAAGGTCCCGGGTTCGAATCCCGGGTCGGGCCAAAAAAATCAGTTATTGAGTTTTTCTATCAAGAAATTCTCAGTAGCTGCCCGGAGTCAGGAAGTTGGCGGTATCTCACTCAGTGCCTCGGAAAGCACGTTAAGCCGTTGGTCCTGCGCCTGATCTCTCTCCGGTCATGTCGGTTTACCGTACCATCGGACTATGAGAGTGAGGGAATAGAGAGTGCACCTGTGCTTGCGCATACACGTAGGCACTTTAATCCTGTCCTGCGCCGATGGCTAGTCTCCGTTGAGGCTGGCCGCCGTGACCGAAATTCGGTCTGGAGGACATTATTATTATTATTATGGTCAAATATTGCAACTGAATTTAAAGCATTTATCATCAACCGATTGAGCTGAAATTTTTGCATACATGCAAGCCTTTGTTTCCGCTTCTTTTTTTTTACAAAATAGTGTTAAAGTAACGAACGAATTTACAGTACTGCAGTCCTAGATACCTGCAGCTAACTAAGAGCCAAGTAAGGATTGCCCACAGCCTGTTATTACAATGGCCCTCTACTTATAGCCTTAACACTCCCAACAGCCCAACACAGCGGTGCAGGCATTGCTATTTGACGTCAGAAATACTTAAGATAGTGGTACCAACCCCGACCGACTCTTGGCAAAAAAGTCGTCGTACTACCGCATAATTTATCCTCATTATATATTTATCATACTTTCTACAATTTTGTCATGCGATGTCTTAAATTGATAAAGGTGCCAATTTTTTTTATAGGAATAAAATGACAAGCCAGCACACACTCCACCTGATGGTAAGTGGTTGCTGTGGCCAATATATGTCTACACCTATCCTCGTTTACGAATCAAAATGCAGATGCGTTGTCAGCCGTGAGGGCTAAGATGGAATGCCCCATTTCCAGTAAAAAAGAGTCTCCGGTTCTCCACACTCACCATACGAAACACAGGACCATTAAGCTGCTATTCTGTGAGGTGGTCCTTCCCCGGTCGAGCCGACCCATACGTGCTACAACTATACAATTAATATAGCTCTGCAACATGGCTCTCTGCCACGTTTAAAATATGTATGTTAGATGAAAAACAGGTTAGTTATTTACCTTTGATTTATTACCATTAGTTAGCCGACCATTACATGAGTCTTCAATAGCTCAGCAGCTAATCGCTTGCCCTAAATTTACAGTACGCGGTTCGAATCCTGCCGACACCAATGATTTGCATTGATAAGCGGTGATTTAGCGCGTGCTCGATGATGAAGGAAAAATCGTAAGGAGACCTGCAATTCTGAGGAATAAAATATTTCAAGGACATATGAAGTCTGCCAACACGCACTGGAGCAGCGTGGGAGATTAAATCCTTCCTCAATAACCCTCTCAGAAATGAGAGGCCTGTGGCCGGTTGTGGAATATATACACGCTGTAACTTTATTTCACTTTGTTTTACGTACATACTCATGGGGGATATTTGCCATAATTGCCACCCTTAACAACCGCATTTTTTATTTGTTGTTTTTAGGAAAACTCTGCTGCCCGTCTCCTGATTTGTTTCACTCTGTCGCCTCTTACGTGACCCACTGCCTACGGGATATGGGACTGTCGATTTTCTTATAGCGCCACTAAATGGTGTAGGTAGTACCTTATGGCGAGAGAAATAAAGTAATTGACGGCTCCGTGGCGCAGTGGCTTAGCAATGAGTTGCTGCGCTGGTGGCCGCGGGTTCGAATCCCGCACGGAACAAGTATTTGTATGGCCTATATATAATTGTTCCGGGTCCGGATGTTTGTCCTTGTGCAATTTGTGTTCTTAACTGCCTCCACGATACAGGAGAAAATCCTAGTGTGGAGGTAACGTTATTTAAATAATAAAAAAAATATTATTAATTGCAGGTGTATTCGGTGAAGTTTCATTAGTCATGTTCCTGGTTGTTGCCGCTTTTGGTGGTATTGCGTTATTAATATGGAAAATGGTGCCACAGACAGAAAAGGACAATGTATCAATTGCAACAATCTCCTCCATGCGCAGCAGTATATTTGGAAGTAGAAACAGAGACCGATTTTCCGATAAAAGTTCTGTGTACTCCATTACGTTGTCAGAAAAAGATGAAGGACCAAAGACGAAATGTAGCGAAGGTGACAATACGTCGGAAGCGTGAGCAATTTAGGAAAGATGTATTTTAAGTTGCACAAATTGTGTGGTATAATAAATACACATATATACGTTTGGCACATGGTAAAAAATCGTGTGTTGTGATAATGTACAGAGTGCTATTGTTGGGTCATTACTATGATATGTGAGCAATTTTGCGTTCACATTTAAAACGTGTTATGATTGCCATACAAAGATAGCATATTTTATCGTTTTATTTATAGTAATCTAGTAATTTAATGTAACTTAGGATAAGAAAATGAGTGTGAAATTGCGTGTTACAAATAAAGATTAAAAAAATATATATAAAAATAATTTTATTTATAAATTATTTCCTTGGATTGATTCAACATTGATACAGGTTTGTTCATATCTATTTTAGAAAACAAAAAGTCATGAACTATATCATTAAGTTCTTCAAGAGCTATTTGGGCATGGAGTCTGACGATGTCATCTTCATTTATATCCTTGTACAGTTTGTTTAGAGTCCTATATAAAGGCAGCAAATTGTCTTCTAATTGGACTAATGTCTCTTTGCCTAAGCCTTTTAACAAACTCGATATGACCATCACAGCAGCCCTCCTGCATTCAATTGCCTTATCTGTTTCTATTATGCTTCCAATACATAGCAACAACTAAAAATAGAAATATGTTTATTAATATAATCAGGAGTTACTTTGCGGAGATCTATTATATTAATTTGCCGGCGTCTATATTTTCGTCCAAATACAATCGGAGCGTTTTCAAGGTAAGAGTGAATAGGCTGTAGTTACGCTAAGACAGTGCGATTTATCATCTAAGGCTGAATCACCACTTACCACCAGGTGGGATTGTGGTGAAGCACTGGCTTATAATAAGTAAAAAAAAAAGATGTTAAAAATTAATACGGGTAAGTAATAAAATAAAATTATGTGTCTAAACTAGTTTAAAGTGCACCTCTCATCCTCCCTCAATTGCGTGCACTATCCCCATCACCACTAACGACGACGATTATCTATGGTAGTAGTGTATTTTTCGTGAGATTAATGGTAGTGGTGTTGAGTTTATTATTGGTGACGGGGATTGTGCACGCAATTGAGGGAAGGTGGGAGTTGCTCTTCAAAACTACTAAATTTTAACATCTTTAATAGAAATATGTTTTATGCATATATCATAAAAATTTGTGTGTGTGTGTGTGTGTGTGTGTGTGTGTGTGTGTGTGTGTGTGTGTGAGTGAGTTTGTGTGTGTGTGTGAGTGTGCGTTTGTGTATGCGTTTAGCGTGCCTGTGTGTGTGGGGTTTGCGTAAATCAAAATAATCTTTTGTTATAATTTTTAACATCATATAGGAAGTAGTCAATTTACCTCATAAATAATAGAACCAATCTTGTAATGCAGAGCTAAAGCTATTTCAGCCAAGTTGGACAATGCAGATGCTCTGATTAAGGGATCTTCATCTCTACAACCAGTTAACATTGTATTCAATAATAGGGTCTTGTGAATGATACACATATCACCTGTAAATAAAGTACAATATTATGTTTTGGTGATTATACCCTATGAGTTTTGTGGATGCCACTTGACATTTATTTATTTAAGTAATATTTATTTAATCTTATATGTCGTATAATATATATTATAACTTAATATGTTATGAAAATGAGTCTGAACACATTGACCATAAAGTAAAGAAGAAGAAGACGACTATATACACAATTCTATTACACTGCCACTACATGTTTAGGAAAAAGGGATAATATTTTCAAAATTACTTTTATTTCAATTTAGAATTCCCAGTCAAACCATTACTAATTATTACAGCACTAGCTATTACAGTTCATAGTTGCCAGTTTAACAAGAGGCAATTTCATAGGTAAAGATATAATATTTATATTAATATTACCTTTGTTAATTTATGGCATTCATTTATAGGTATTAGAGCCGTGGTAGCTCAGATGGTTAGCGCTCGCTGTAACCTTCACAGTATGCGAGCACCAATGAATTTGTTGATTGTAATTTTAAGTGATGTATTTACCACATGCTTGGTGGTGAAGGAAAACATCGTGAGGAAACCTTCATGTCTGAGAAATAAGAAAAAAAATTATTCGGGGCAGCGTGGCAGACATTTCCTTGCCCTAAAACCCTCTCAGAAATGAGAGGAGGCCTGTGCCCAGCAGTGGGATATAAATAGGCTGCAAATTTATGTATAAGCATTGAAAACAGACAAAAATTGTAAACTGGGTTCTTGGAACGGATGAGCTATCATAATTACAATTCATTTGGAACCCTCATAGCTCAAGCTCAGTTTTAACCATATAATTATGTAATACTTGTATACAACATGTAGTCACTAAGTGAAAAGCATGTTTTATCGATTTATTATAGACTGCTACCAATATAATTTTACCAATCCCTTCTCCTTCTACTCTCTACTAAAGTGTACAAGAGTAAAACCAACTCCAAAGAATAATGCAATAAATGTTAAAACTTACCAAGACGTTTAGTCACTTTGACAATAATGTCTCCTACTTTCATTCTTAGCTCTTGAATTTTATTTTGCATCTCACTTGTTTCAACATCAACAATTTGTGTGGAAATATTTAAGAATTCCCTGCATAAGACAGCCAAAACGTCTTCTGCACAATGTAAAGCTAATGATGCAATACCATTAATTGCAGCTAAATAAACATAAGAATCCACATCTTTTAGCTGTTCCTGAAAAGTTATGTCACTTAAAACTCCGCCTACAAGCCCAATTCACTATATAAAAAAAAAAACTACGAAAAATATGATACCTGGAATAAGCAAAATACAAAATGACGCTTAGATATTGTTTCTGCATCTTGGACATCTATAAGCTTTGTAAGTTCAATAATTCCATGTGCTCTTGTTGGGAGCAAAACATCAAAAACATCTGATACAGCTTTTTCATAAGCCGAGTTTCCTTGCTGAATTTTTTCACCCAAAATCATAGACAAGGCTTCTTTAGATAAAATTCTGTTTGAATTGTATTCAGCATGAGCAATTTTCTCTAATGTTGGAACTAAATTCTTTAATCTAACATTCAAACTTAAATCATTGAGATCTGGTAATATTGTATTTAACAAAATTAAAGCAATAGTTTGAGATTCACTGTTTTCCTCATTATGTTGAAGGAAATATTCAACAAAATTAATGACTATTAGGGGACATGTTTTCAAACAGTTACTTATTTTGGACGATTCTGATATAACAGATAGTAAATGTAGAATATTAATATATTGTTTATCAATGTCATTAAGTAAAACAGGATCATCTTCTTGAGATAACAGTGTTTCATCTTGACATTTTTTTCTTTTTATACTTAAATCAATATGAATTTGCAAACAGGTCTCAAGCACAACTTGAACAAAATTCCTATCTGTTGATTCTTTAAATATCTCTATAAAATAGAACAGTGCATCATCCATTGGATAAAAACAATCAGTCACAGTACTAGATTTTAATACAAGCCCTGCCTGATATTCTTCAACTTTGATACCAGATGATCTCAAATCATTGCCAAATAAAAATGTTTTTATTAAAGGAGCTATTTCATCCTTACTAATGTGCTCTAACAATTTTAATAAAATTTCATTTAACTTTCTCTTTAAATCTCCATTACTGCATTTCATTCCAAGTAAAAAGAGTACTCTTATATTTGGAGACAAAAATTTATAAACTATCTCTTGATTTGCCAAACATAGACATGAATGAAATATCTGTATTTTATGGTCAATTTCTTGTGTTGTAAGAATTATAGTTCCAGGTAAGTGTGAACCAGATATTATATTTTCAAATTTAAACGAGTCAAAAACTTCACTTGTTAATGCCTTCACAGCCTCTGAATTAGGATATCTTTCTATTAGAGTTATTAGGCATGCAATTGCGGTTGTCAAATATTTTGAATTATTTACTATAAAAATTTGTTTCAGCTGACTACAAATATTCTGAAGGTATAAAGTCTCATTTGTATATCCATGCTTTGTTGCAATTAATTTGCAAATTATGTCAATTTTTTTCCATTCTATACCAGTATCCATTTCATAAGAATCAATGAAACATCTTATTAAACTTAACAATCCACCTGGCACCACAAGACGCCTGCTTAACTCTTTAGCAATGACCTTTTTAACAAAAGCTGGAGGAGTATGATCACACACATTTTGTAACACTAAAAGCTCCTTCATGAGTGTTGGCTGAAAACAATTATTTACTAGATACTCATATACTTGGATGTATTTCTGCCTGTCCATATTCAACTTTTCATAAGTTTCTTCAGTCATCCTATAATTATTGTAAACACCAGGTTTCTTTAGCGGAGCAAAACACAATTGTATTAAAGCAGCTAGATAGTCTGATAGATGAAAAGTGACAATGATATTCTTCAAAACTGGAACAGTGTAACTTCTAACAAAGAAATCAATACAGTCAACTATTATTTCATACTTTTGGTCATCACTTAGGTTTTGAGGAGGTAACAATGCTCCCAATGTACATCTTTTAGATAAGCTTATACCTAAGCCAGGCACCAAGCAAGGTGATATACCTAGTGATACTATAAATTGAAAACAGGTTCTTAACAATTTTTGATTTTTTACACTGATAAGCACAGTTTCATCATTTTTAATGCAAGATGCCAATTCATCAATTTCGTTAAAAATATTGTGAAGAAATGTTTTTAGAGAAGAAAAGAGACCCTTAGCTTCATTATTTATATCTGATTGATGATGTTGAAAAACGATAGGGATTAATTCTGATTCGCCATCTGTTTAAAAAAAAAATAGAAAACTCTAAGTTAAAAATCATTTTTTTTAAATTAATTAGAAAAATTTACTTACTAATATTTGTTATATTTTCAATTCTTTCAAAAATTGCATTTATTTGTGACATATTTCATACACTTGATCTCCTGATAATTATCTATTCCTAAATCCCTTTTATATCTGAGTCTCTAAATAAATAATAAATGAATTAATACGTGATTTTTTTTTCCTTTCTTGGCCTGCACGGTTTGTGCGTCAGCCATGCAAAAAGGTTAGGAAGTAAGATTTATTTTATTGAATTGGAAATTGGAACGGAATTTGAAAAAGGATCAGGTAAATTTAGTATATAAGTACATAAATTATTATAATTTTATATTGTTATGAAAAATGAAACTGGCTAAAATTCTATATACATCAATATTTACATAAGATAAAAGGACAGAAATTGAAGTAGGAAAAGGAATTTTAATGGACAAAAGCGAGGAAATAAAAGCGGAACGGTCATGTCGAGGACAAGCAAAGAATATATGGTTAAAATCCCCAACGTCATTGCCACACTCACATATATTGCTAGGCAAAAGTTTAAGCCTTGCCAAATGCAAGGGAATGCATGCATGGCCCAGCCTCATACGAATAAGGGTAGAAGTGATAGCTTTACCAAACGTCAGATTTGAAAACCACGGTTTAGGAGGTATATCCACCTGGATCGTGCTATAATATCGACCTATAGTCTGACTTGAAGAACGCCAAATGTGTGTCCAAGAATTCAATAATTGGGATTTAGGAAGGAGAGCCAAATCACAACAAAAGTTTTTGTACGGAACTAGATCTCCGTCATTGACTGCAGCTTTGGCAAGGCTATCGGCCTTGGTATTGCCAAAGATACCTGAGTGCCCCGGGATCCAAGCAAAAGAAACTGTGTAATTTTTGATGCAACATTGATACAATAAATCACGACATCCAATAATAACTGGATGATTATTTCTGTTACTGCTAAAAGGAAATCTTTCCAAGGCTTGGAGGGCACTTTTAGCATCGGTAAAAATTATTGAGTTTTTTAACTTCATGATTAAAATGTACTCCAGAGACTTCAACAGACCAAAACATTCTCCAGTAAATACTGAAGTCTCTGGAGGCAATTTTATTTTCTGTACAATGCCAAACTGTTGATGGAAAACGCCAACTCCCACACACTCCTCGGAACCGGGTTTGGAAGAATCACTAAAAATTAAATGGCAATGTTTCCATCGGCTGTCACTGTCAACAATATCAATAAATTTGACGTTGGCAGAAGGATCTTGTTTACATACACCGAAATCAAACAAAATATGGGTTTTAAAATTAAGGCATCATAGTTAACACAAAATATAGGAAGGAATTGTGATCTATGTGTTGGAGCTTGAAGAGCTAAGAATTTTTGGAAACTAACAATAAGGCATGGCGGCGATTTATGAGCCCAGTACGGATAGTCCATACATTCCAACAGAGACCGTAACCTAGAGTAAAGAGGATGATTATAGACTTCGAATGCTCTAAACAGGAACCTGTCACAAAGAAATTGTCCTCTGAGATGCAGGGGCGCTTCAGAACATTCAACCTGCAAAGCGTTAATAGGGCTTGAACGCATAGCCCCAGCAATTATTCTCAGAGCCTTAGACTGGATAATGTCTAACTTATGGAGAGCTACTGCATTACAGGGTTCAAGAATAAATGTTCCATAGTCTAAAATACTCCTTATTAGGGCATTATATAGAAGCTTTAGAGAGAAAGGGTGGGCTTCCCACCAAACTCCAGAGAGGCAGCGCAGTATATTTAGAATCTTCTCACATTTGGCACTTATATAGTAGCAATGAGGGCTTAGCTTTCCATTGACGTCAGTGGAGTTTGGTGTTGATACGTATTTTTACAGAAAGATTACATTATTATAAGCACACACACAAAGTCTCAATATACGGAAACGCGTAATTTTTGAGAAAAGAATAATTGAAAATCAATTATTCTTGCAATGTTTATGTCTAATCTGCTAATAAACTGGCGCCATTTTGTAATGTCATTGTCGACGTCAATAGGGATGTCGATTCTTTCCGAAAAAGATCGATTTTTAAATCGATTCAAATCGTAAGCTGATGTATCGGTTCACAAAAAATCGATTTCTAAAATATCTATATTTTTTTAATATTTCTATTTATAATGTAAATATAAACCCATTTTATGAAAAACAAGAAAGATACCATGATAAATGATCTCTTATTGAAATTTGTTTTATTTAACAGTACCTATTAGGGCAGATAACAAATAAAATAGGTTAGGTTCAACTTATGTCAAAGAACCGAATTGATTGACCCCGACTCTACCTGGTACGAGTCTGTCCTACCCCTAGAGTGGTTTTATAGAGCCGGAGGCGCGTAGGGGGAGCAGCCTCCGCCTGCTGTAACAAATCATAGGCATCGGACGAGCCGGAGCGGCTGAGGCTGGTCGCCGAAGGCGACCAACAAGCCGAAGCTGCGGAGGCGAGGAGGGATGCCTGCGATTTGTTACGCTAAGGCGTAGAGGTTGCTCTTCCCGCAGCGCCGGAGACGTAGCAGTCTCAAAATAAATACAGAAATCCTTATGAATCAGTCCCCTTATGTTTTTATGATGAAGGGGATTTTTTTTCTCATAAAATGGATTTATATTTACATTATAAATGCAAACATGAAAAAAATATCGATATTTTAGAAATCGATTTTTCGGGAATCGATACATCAGCTTACGATTTGAATCGATTTAAAAATCGACCTTTTTCGGAAAGAATCGACATCCCTATTGACGTCGACAATGACATTACAAAATGGCGCCAGTTTATTAGCAGATTAGACATAAACATTGCAAGAATAATTGATTTTCAATTATTCTTTTCTCAAAAATTACGCATTTCCGTATATTGAGACTTTGTGTGTGTGCTTATAACAGTGTAATCTTTCTGTAAAAATACGTATCAACACCATACTCCACTGACGTCAATAGAAAGTCGTACCGCAATGAGGAATGCCTGTAAGCCTCGAGTCTAAAATTACCCCAAGAAATGTTGCTTCGCTTTTAACGGGAACTCTAATGTTATTATAAAATACAGACACTGGAGGAGGAAGCCTCATACGTGAAAATAAGACTATACTACTTTTAGGAACCGAAAGGCTTAGACAGTTATTGTCAAGCCAAACTTTTAGCAACTTAAGGGAATATGTCATAGTATCAGACATGTTATCAACAGAATCACCAGAGACATAGAGGAGTAAATCATCTGTATATTGGAGTGTGCTAACTTTACCCTTAAGGGAGGCTTCCAGATCATGAGAATATATATTGTAAATTAAGGGACTTAAAACTGAGCCTTGGGGTATACCTTTCCAGGCAATACGGGATTGGTAGGAGTCTTCTGATATTACTTTAAGCATTCTACCAGAGAGAAGATTGATTGTGAATCTTATAAAAATTTGTGGGATATCCAAATTAATCATTTTTTGTTTCAGAATTGAAAGGTTGACATTATCATAGGCTGCAGATACATCTAAGAATGCAGCTAACACAAACTTATTGTACGAAAATGCCAATCTTAAGTCTGTCATAAAAATGCTGAGACTATCCATCGTACTCCTACCTTTCCTAAATCCAAACTGGTTTGGAGATAGTAACCCCTTACTCTCAATAAACCATTCTAGCCTATTTTTAACTAAATGTTCGGAAATTTTGGAAATAACTGAAGCTAATGCAATTGGTCTGTAAGATGATGGATCATTAATCGGTTTGTCGGGCTTATGTATTGGGATAACTTCATGGATTTTCCATGATGGAGGAATATTACCTGATCTTAAAATTGAATTAATTAAACTAAGAAAATAAGAAAGGCAGGAGTCGTTCAAGTTTTGAAGAAAAGAATATGGGATTCCATCACAACCTGGGGCTGAGTCCCTAAGTTTTGAAAGAACCCCTTTGAGTTCTGAAAGGCTAAAGGAAATTAATGAATCGCTACTATCATGCTGGGAGAGGAGAGAAGGCTGTGGGTCAGAAGAAATATTATCTATAGATGGGACAAATGGTGGAGCTAATTTGTCAAGAAACAAATCAACTGTACTGCTATCCATAAAAGGAGACCTTGGAGGCTTAAAAGCGGATCTGAATCTACGAATATTTTGCCAAACTTCAGATGGAGAAATGTCTGGTGAAATTGAGGCACAAAAAGATTTCCAGCCATTGAATCTTTTTTGTTTTAATAATTTACGTGTTTTAGTTATAAGATTACAAAGAATATTAAAATTTTGTGTTGTAGAATTTTTTCTGTAATTTTTTTGAGCTATCTTTCTCTCAGCTATCGCAGCAGAACACTCACTGTCCCACCAAGGAGGTGATGGAATATACCCATTGCCACTATTATTTTTTATAGGAAAAACTTCCTCAGCAGCCTGTAGTAGGGCCCGTGTAAAAGCTTCAGCACAAAGATGATTATTGTTGTCATTTAGTGGAGGTATAGTTGATAAATTTTGTTGAACTTTATCTCTAAATAATGACCGGTTGGCATCCTTAAGTCTATATTTTAGCCGGGGAGGAGCCTTAGACATCTTTTCGCCAATTTTTTGAGGAAATGATATAATTAGCGGAAAGTGATCGCTTCCATATGACGACGATAGAGGCCACCAGTTTAATGTAGGAGCTAGGGAGGGACTACACAGGGTAAGGTCTGGTGCACTAATACCCTCATGGGGCCGAGTCCTTCTAGTAGGACAACCAGAGTTTAGAAGGCATAAATTATTATCATCTAAGATGTCTAAGATTCTAGCCCCATAATGATCAGATTTAGAACTTCCCCACATAGAATGTTGTGCATTGAAGTCTCCCATGACCAAAATAGGACGTGGGAGGGAAGATAGAATGCTACGAATATCGTCAAAGACTTCAGTGGAAGGGTGAGGTATATACATATTTACAAAACAAATATTATTTACACTAACAGCAATAATTGAAAATTTATTACTGTGATTAGGGATGGGTATGTGGACAAAGGGCACACCGCCCTTAAGAATTAGTGCAACTCCACCATACCCATCTGTTCTGTCTTCTCTAAGACAGATATGTCCTGGAATTCTAACGTTGAATCCGGGACGAAGCCAAGTCTCTTGAAGAGAGACTGCAAATGGTTTGTAACTATTCAATAAGAAAATTAGATCACTTTTTTTGCTATTAATACTCCGGCAATTCCATTGAATCACCAGAGACTGGTTTTGTGGATGGTCCTGACTGTCCATGAGTTAAAAAACTTTTTGAAGAAGCGGCATCGTTGGACGGTATTTTAATTAGGTTAGATTGTGAAAGGTACTGAATTATAGAAATGATGAGATCCTTTGTTATTATTTCTGATAGATCTTTGTAATTTTTGAGACAACCTGTAGAAAAGGAAGGAATGTTGCTGTAATCTTGGATAAGCTCTGCATGCGCTTTTTGATCATATCCCTTACTAGTATTTCTGGGACGACCTTTGGGTTTCGAGAATACTGTTTTCCTATATGACTGTGTGTGACTCTTAGAAGGGCTTGTTGAATTATAGGGGCTGGGGAACCAGAACATAAGATACACACAGCATCATCTCTTTCAGTCTCGCAGATTATACCTGAATGGTTGTCACCACATTTGTAACACCTTGGAGAGCCTCTGCATTGCATTTTGGTGTGACCAAATCGGCAGCAATTAAAGCATTGCAGCGTGGGGTAAATATAAAGCTCTACAGATAGGGAGTTGAAACATATAAAGACCCTGGGAGGTAGCACCTTCCCATCAAAGGTTAAAACTGCGGTCTCAGTTGGAATGAACTTGGGCGTCTCGCCATCATATACCTTTCTATTTAATCTCCGAACTTTCAAAATACTTCCACAGTTCTGCGGAAGGTCAATATTTTCCATTATATCTTTCTCATCCCAGTCACATGGAACACCTCTCACTATTCCCATGCGGGTGATAGTGAAGGCCGGAATAAATGCTTTGTATTTATTAACGTCAAGAGATTTGTGATTTAGAAATGTGTTAGCATCCTGAAATGTTTCAAATTGTAAAGACAATCTGTTCCTTCCAATTTTTTTTATGCTTCCCTCTACAATGCTTTTTATTAAACTTTTTTTAAGGAAAAATCCAAATTGTACTGGGTGAATAGATCCAGTTTGATTTGGTTGTAAGATTTTTTGAACATGGACAACATAAGGCGCAGGATCTGACGCCTGGTAAAGCGACCTAGCAGCGCGAGGGTTACTTGTAATATTGTTAGAGTGAGCGGCCTCATTATGGTGGATTTCAGTGTTATTATCATCAGACTCAAGCACTTTAGTAATAACATTATCCTTTAAATCGTTAGGGGAAAGTTGGCAATCTGATAGACCCGTAGGTCTGTGATTCCTTCTCTTCTTTTGGTTTCTAGCTGAGATTCTCTTTCTTTTAACCGATTTCGTGTTTTCCGAACAGTCTGTATCTATAATTGAACCTTCCGTTTCCATTCCCGACGCATCGATTGTGACTACATGAGACACCTGGAGGGATGTCCCTCCAGGGTCTTCGGGCTCCAACATGGACGCCAAGAGAAAAATCCTATTTACATATAATACAATGAAATGACTTACCAGGTGAAGAAAACAAACTAAAACTATAATAATCAACAATAACTACTAATATATATACTTTACAACTTAACTGATCCTGTAATATCAAATTAATTTAATTTTCAAAAGTTTAAGCAAAAAAAGGACGCCCGCCTACTTCAAAACTTCCCGCGCTTTTTTCTTAATACGTGATTAAAAACTTTATTTACGACTTTACGACCACAGAGTCACAGACTAGGGATGTGAAAAAATAATCGATTTTATTATTAATCGATTATTTTTTTTATAATCGATTTTAAAAGTAGATTATTTTATACGAAAAATATTTTTTCGTATAAAATACGATTTTTAATAAAAGGATTATGTAAATTACGCGTTTTAATATCGATTTTTGTAATGAGCGTCATTCGTGCGATGGATTTAAAAACGTAAAGTAAGTTCAATAACATGAATAAGTCGATCAAAAGAACAGCGTCATCTGTGCGACAGATGAAAAAACGCGGAAGTAAGTTCACTAATATGAACAAGTCAATCAAAAGAAGGCGCCACCTGTATGTATCTCTATGTAAAACAGTTTCGCCTATCGTATGTATTCAACATTTTTCTTTCTCCGCTAGGAGTAAAAGTATTCTGTGGTTTTCTTTCTTTCTTTGGAGAGTGTAAACAATTATCAAACAATAAAAATGTCTTGTAAAACGCCTAAAAGTGGCTGACGGAAGTATTTTATAATGAAAAAATGATAGCGGCCAATACGTCAATAAGCAAAAATACTGAATTCGACCTATATATTGCGGCACCACTATCAAATCTCAAGACAGATGCCCTCAATATACGGAGAAGCTCTGGAGGAACTTTCCCTAAAATAACCGAATTAGCTCTTAAACACCTCTATGTGATGGCCAGTTCAGCGCCAGCCGAAAGATTATTTTTGAAAGCGGGAAATATTGTCAGGAAAAAACGAAACCGGATTTTAGGAGAGAGACGAAGAAGAATTTTGGTAAAATAATTGTTTTTAAACTCTTTAACTGAAAACTCATGGCAATAACTTTTTTTTACTTTTTTTGTTTACACAAGTTTAGAAAAAAGATTTATCTTGTATTTTAGTTTTAAGACCAAAAGGTTGTCGATTGATTATTTATAATTATGACACTGAACGTTAGTGGCAATAATTATTTATAGTTTTTTTTGTTTAAACTTAACGTTTAAATAATAATTTAAAATTTAAAATTTTGTACAGCCGACTTCAATATAAGTTATTTAAGAATAACTTAAAAACTATTGGTCTGAACTTGATCAAATTCATATGGGACCACACGAGAAGTACCAGCTTTCAAATAAAAAAAGAATCATCGAAATCGGTTCACCCAGAAAAAAGTTCTGAGGTAACACACAAAAAAAAAACGAAAAAAAAAAAACATACAGTCGAATTGAGTACCGGCTCCTTTTTGGAAGTCGGCAGAAAAAATATGTATTTTAATTTTGAGACCAAAAAGTTGTCGTTTGATTATTTAAACTTATAGTTTTATTTTATTTTCATTCTAATCCAATGTAAATTGTACTGAACATTTGTGGCAATAATGATATTTATACTTTTTGTTTGTTCAAACTTAGTTTACAAAAACTATCCCTTACTAAACTTATCATTTATTAATGATTTTTTATATTTACTCGTAGACTACACATCAAATGAAACTAATTTTTAAGGATTTTATCGCGCTTAATTTAACTTTTTAATTACCGACGTTTCAGGTGCTTTACAGCTTCATATCATAATAATCCATCCTCTCTATTGAATTTAGGATGTTTTTGAATTTCAATAGCCTCGCGAATCATCCTTGGTAGGAATCGGTGTTCTTTTGCGAGGACTTATGGTCCAACTATGACATAGGGACATCAAAAACCTCAGTCCCCCCTGTGACCATGTGTGCTGTAAAGCACCCTAAACGTCGGGAATTACAAAGTTAAATAAACCCGATAAATCCGTAAAAATTAGTTTCATTTATCGTTTCTTTTTATTTTGGTTCTAATAAATTGTTAAATTGCACTCAACATTTGTGGCAGTAACTATTTTTAGTTTTTAATTGTGTAAAGTTATAGGTTAAAATAATTGTTTTGCAGTTCAGTTTTAAAACCAGAAGATTGTTGTTCTGATTATGTTTTATATTCATCATTTTATTTGATTTTTATTCTGATAAATTGTTAATACTATACTCTCGTAATTTTTATTAATATATAGGAAAGCAGGCATTTTTTCGAATAAAATAAATTGTTTCCTAAAAATCGATATTTTTAATAAATATCGATTTTTCCTAAATCGATTAATATCACAAAGGAAAAAATCGATTTTTTAATAATCGATTTTTTCAATCATAGTCACATCCGTACCACAGACTAATATGATTATGATGCTTATTTACGACAAAAAACTGTAAAACTCATAAACATATGATAGTGATAGACGGTTAGACGGTCATAGTGCAGAATACTTTTAATAATAATATATTCTATGAACTGTGATTCTAGTTCTAGGTACATATTTATTTATCTATGTTCCTAATGAGTAATGACCAAAGACTACAATGTTAAATACTTTGTCATTAGATCGATAAGGTTAGCAAATCTCTTTTCTCTGTGAGTCTGTGACTGTGACCAACTGTGACTGATTTTGAATGACAGGTCGTCACAAATTGACACGCAAAGATTGAGCTCTTCGGTATTTTAGATTTTTTGATTAAAATAGTGGTTATTTTTAATAAGTACAACCGTCTTCAACAATGGTTACTTGTTCTGTGAGTGAATGTGCTGTTAATCATAGAAACAATCCTGATAATTACACATTTCACAGGTAAAATTCTCAAAACGTCCTCACTGGTATGACGCGTTTATTTTTTGGTTAAAATTTATGATAAAGACTGTTTAAATTATAAAATATTCTTAACAATTTTGATATTTTGCAAAAAAGTCACGTTGCATAAAATATGCTGATTTTAATGAATGCATTTTTCATCAAAATATTTTACATGTACGCTAGGGTTTGACTAAACCATAGATTACTGTATATATACTAGAGATAGATGCGCGACTCAAATTTAATTTTCTTTAGTGTCGTGCTTTGCATAACAGACTGCGCTTACAAAAGAAGGAACTTGAAAAAAAGGGAAAAAATAAACACATCTGCTGGACGCGATCCGGGATCCTTAGATTTCGGGACCACCCGATTATCCACCTGAACTATTATAACCTTGTGCGTTGTGGCGAAATTTACCTTCGTATTCTAATAATATTTTAGCAGTTTTTCGTTGTCTGAAAACACAGATAAAATGGCATTTTCTAAAAATAAATAATGTTCAATAAATATTAATATCGACGGATTCAACTCGGTTGGGCAGCGTTCGGGAAATTACGGCACATCTTCTCGTCAGGTATACCTCAAAACTTGAAAACGAGACTGTACACCCAGTGCGTGTTGCCAGTGATGACATACGGAACTGAGACGTGGTCGTTCACTGCTGGCCGGATGAGGAAGCTCAAGGTCGCTCAGCGAGCTATGGAGAGGGCTATGCTCGGAGTTTCTCTGCGTGATAAACTCAGAAATGAGGATATCCGCAGTAGAACTAGAGTGACCGACATAGCTCAACGGATTAGTAAGCTGAAGTGGCAATGGGCCGGCCATATAGCTCGAAGAACCGACAACCGATGGGGAAGAAAGGTTCTCGAGTGGCAGCCTCGTACCGGCAGGCGAAGTGTAGGGCGTCCCCCCACTAGATGGAGTGACGACCTGGTAAGATATGCAGGAAGTCGATGGATGCAGGTGGCTCAGGACCGTGCTTTGTGGCATTCTTTGGGGGAGGCCTATGTTCAGCAGTGGACTTGTGAAGGGCTGTAATGATGATGATGAAATATTAATAACAATTTAAGCGTAACCAGTGACCGCTACTAACTGCGTAGTGCGCGTGGATTATTGCGTATGCATAGACTTAATATATAAGTGCCCTCTAGTGAGATTAATATAAGTCTAGCCTAGCGCTTCGGAATGTAGATGGAAGCACATAAAACGCATCATTTTGTTCGTAAAATAATGTTCTAAGTTGCACGCCTATGGACTAAACTGTGTCGAATGCTCGATTGTCGCAATTAATGTTGATATTTATCTTGAATGTTTATAATGAATCGATAGACTTGCCCTGTAGGGGTGGGTAAGAATACCCACTTCCCAATATCTTCCCGTGGGTGTCGTAAGAAGCGACAGAGGGAAACTGAGGCAGAAGAAGGGCAGCAGCATCTTTATGATAAAAGCTAAAAGCAATAAAAAAAACTGCGGCTGCCAACCCGCTTGCCAAGCGCGGCAACTATGGCAGTATACACCCCATGACCAACGACATTAATAAACGGCCCACAGTCTCCGGCGGCCCCGCTATTCCTGGCTACGGTGGCGACCATGGTAACGGCGGGTACTAAGAATTGCCGGTGGAGGTTTAGTTGCCACCTACGACGGCTCGACCTGGCAACTTACAACGCACGCACCCTGAGGACTGACGAGAAGATCCTGGAGCTGGAAGAAGAGATAGACAAGTTGCGCTGGAATATTATATGATTATCCGAGGTCCGAAGAGAGGGAGAGGACACGGTAATTCTCAAATCCGGCAACTTGTTCTATCACCGGAAGACCATCTGTTCCAAGGAGGTTTCGGATTTTTCGTCCACAAGTCTCTCGTTAACAACGTTGTAAAGATTGGGAGTGTGTCGACAAGGGTTGCGTACCTTATACTCAGAATCACCAAACGGTATTCGCTGAAGGTCATATAGGTTTACGCACCAACCACGGCACATCCCGATGAGGAGATGGAGGAAATGTATGAGGATATCTCTAGAGCCATGCATTCCTCCATAACCCACTATTAATGGGAGACTTAAACGCTACACTAGGCACAAGAGAAAAGGATGAGCTGAAAGTAGGGAAATTTGGATTAGTGCAACGGAACCCAAGGGCCAGCAGCTGGCCGACTTCATGGAGAAAGAAGGACCCCTTATGATGACTCTTTCTTCCAGAAGCGTCTCCACAGGAAGTGGACCTGGTCGAGACCCGACAACTGTTCAGTGATGTCTCAGTGATCGCGGGGGTAAAAACTGCTATGCAGGAGACGATATGAATGACAAGCTTGTGAAAACTGTCCAAGCGGTCAGAGCTAAGTTTTGCAAGACCCGCCGCAGAAGAACACAAAAATTCTCCGATCATACTCTTAATCTTGTGGCTGTTAGATGGGGAATGAAGCTGCAGTCTTCAGTAAATTTGATAGTATACAGGCAACTGAACAGACAAATCTCCAAATGCATGCGGCGGGACTTATACAACTTTAATACTGCTCGTATTGAAGAAGCGATCGAGCGGAACAAGGGCTCCAAAGTCTTTGCCAGAGATCTGCCTGCCAGAAAGAGTCAACTCTCGAAGCTGAAGACCGAATGTGGCAGCATTGTTTCCAGGACACCTGAGATTTTAAGTGAGATTGAGAGGGGTTCTATGGGCAGCGTCATGTTGGAGCCACACGCAAGTGTGTGTAACGTTCTAAAAGCAAGTCTTATCCGACACCGACACTATTCCGATGATATCCAGGACGTCAGTCTGAGTGAGACTAGAATGGCTCTGCAGCACTTTAAACACGGCAAGTCCTCAGGCGAGGGTGGAATTACAGCGGAGCTTCTGAAAGCGGGTGGAGAACCGGTAGATTGTACAACCATTGCGTGTTGTTAGTGATGACTTATGGATCTGAGACGTGGTCCTTCACTGCTGGCCGTATGAGGAAGATCCAGGTTATTCCAGGCGGGTGGAAAAACCAGTACTTGAACTCCTTCAGAAGCTCTTTAATTCCATTCTCCATGGTGGCACTACTCCAGAGGCGTGGAGTAGAAGTGCAGTGGTATTGTTCTTCAAGAAAGGCGACAACGCTCTCTTGGAAGAACTAGAGACTGATTTACCTTCTGAGCGGCATCTACGTGCATGACCTTATCGTCCATAAGGACTGGAAATAATACGGTATTAACGTCAATTGCGAGAACATCACTCACCTTCGATTTGCTGACGATATAGTCCTAATGGCAGAATCGCTGGAGGGTCTAAGCACTATGCTCAATGACCGCAATAGTGTCTCACAATGGATAGGTCTTAAGATGAACATGGACAAGACAAAAAACATGTTTAACGTCCATGTCACACCTGTGCCGGTAGTTGTTGGGAGCACTAAGCTCAAAGTTGTTGACGAATATGTTTACCTGAGACAAATAGTCCGACTAGGTAAGTTCATCTTCGACCGATTGGTCAATCGACGGATTCAACTTGGCTGGGCAGCGTTCGGAAAATTACGGCACATCTTCTCATCAGGTATACCTCAAAACTTTAAAACGAGACTGTACAACCAGTGCATGTTGCCAGTGACTACCTATGGAACTGAGACGTGGTTGTTCACTGCTGGCCGTATGAGAAAGCTCAAAGTCGCTCAGCGAGCTATGGAGAGAGCTATGCTCGGCGTTTCTCTATGTGATATACTTATAAACGAGGATATTCGCAGTAGAACCAGAGTAACCGACGTAACCCAAAGAATTAGTATGCTTAAGTGGCAATGGGCCGGTCATATAGCTCGAAGAACCGACAACCGATGGGGAAGAAAGGTTCTCGAGTGGCAGCTTCGTATCGGCAGGCGAAATGTAGGGTGTCCCCCTACTAGATGGAGTAATGACCTGTTAAGACATGCAGGAAGCCAATGGATGCAGGTGGCTAGGGACCGTGCTTTTTGGCATTCCTTGGGCCTATTTTCAACAGTGGACTTGTGAATGGCAGTAATGATGATGATAGATTTGCAGCCCACACGACAAGAATATGAATCAAAGTAAATGCTCGATTTGTTTTCTAAAAACGTAATTTTATTTTGCCGTTTGTCAAACAGATTCCCTCTGGATTCTATAATTAGAGACAAATGGCTAAGATTGATTGGGCGGGTTGGTTGGATTCCAAAGAAGAACTCATGTATTTGTAGTAAACATTTTCTTGACAAATACAAGCGAAAAAGCAGAATGAATACAATCTTATTAAAAGGAGCAATTCCTACTTTATTTGTACCAGTAAGTATAATATAAATATAGTAAAACTTCAGAAGCTATAAATAAAAATAAAGATAGATTTTTATAAATTATTAAATTGTACTATATTAAAGATAAATCTTGAGATTATCCTATGTAAGCCATTATGACCCAACTAAGTTTCCATTTATCAACCAAAAAATTTATAACCGCACCTCACGGTCACAGTAAAATATTCATAGCATCACGCTATTTTCCCCAAGGGGTTGAGTGGAGCTTTGGATGATATTCCCAAGTCACAATGATAAAACTTTTAGCGTAGTCGAGTATAAATATTTGGTAATATCCCTAAAGCGAGGCTAGATTCCAACGCATGAGACGCGTGGATCAGTGTGCTAGGATAGTATAAATTCCATATAGTATTTGATACTCACAAGGTTCGATGCTCGACGAAGTTTACCAAGGGCTTGATAGCGTGGTTCATCGCCTACAGCAGGAGCATATTATCGCCCATTTTTGTTAGTTTTTTGTTAGCGGTTGTAACTTAACCACGAGTTCTTCTCTACGAAAAGAACTCGTGGTTAAGTTACAACCGCGAGGATCAATAAATCTACGAGATTAAGCTGCATTTGCTGCAATCAGTCCATATATGGGTGACCGTTTTCTTAACATACCGAGATTGAGAAAATAGAGAAAGCATCTTTATCCTCACGCACTTGGTGCACTTTAATAACTTTTGTATATTTGGCTAGTCTTTGTTGAGATTGGCTGCCGTCACCTAAATTCGGTCTGAAGATCATTATGTTTTTAAAATTCATGCAGCTAAAATGATAAAGTAAGTTTATTATTACTTTATATTTTACAGGTACAGATAAAAGAGAGAGTAGCTACATCATATGTTAATCGTGACATAACCCATCCGCCATTGAAATCCCAAGATCAAGAAATAGGTGATCAACTTACAACAAGAGAAAAATATATTTTATCAAAAAACAATAAATTAAAACAAAAGCTACAAGAAAAACAAAAGAAAATACGTAGCTTAGCTGCAAAAAATAAAAGACAGACTAAAAAAATAGTCACATTGATAAACGTTCTTAGAAAAATTGAGCCAAGCTTGGAAATGGAAGAGCAATACAGTGATATCGATATGGCATGTAGCAATGAATGATACAGATTTTAATTAACAAGGTTAATAATAAAAAAATTGGTAAAATACAGTCTACATCGAAATATAATAAAGAATTACGAAAATTTGCTTTTCACAATACATTTCTATAGTCCAAAGCCATTATTATTTTAATGATTTCTTATATTTACGCGAACACTACACATTGAATAAAACTACTTTTACGGATTTTATCGCCTTTAATTAGATCGGACCAAAATTAATAATTAAAAAGCTGAAGGTACTCCGGGTTAACTTTGACATCGGGACGTCAATCACTCAGTCCCCCGTGACCACGGTTGCTGTAAAACAACCGAAACGTCGGGAATATAAAATAACTTAATTAAACGCGATAAAATCCGTAAAAGTAGTTTTATTCAACATTATTATTTTTTCAACCTTAAATTTGAATATGATTCCTTGATAATTTATTCATCAAGTATACTAGAACTACTTGGGTCTTTAATAAATATAAGGTCGCCAAAATAGCTTCATGTTGATTTCATAGAAAACGGAGACACGGAGTACATAATGCCTGCTTTATTTTACATATAATTTAATATATCATTGATGTACATAGGCTGCACTAAAAGTATCGGGAATGGAATTTCCACTGTTCCTGTCATATTAAAATCTTTTTAATTGAAAAGTCCTTGGTTTTAAAAATCGAATACCATTTATTTATTTAAAAAAAGATTCTCGGTCTTGTCACAAGGTTTTGTCAAACTTGTTTAGTCATTGAGAAAATGGAATTGACTCGAGAAAATTCAAGAGCGATGATTTATTATGACTTTCGAAGTGGTTTAACACAAAAACAGTGTGTTGACCGAATGATTTCTGCATTTGGTGATGAAGCCCCATCCAAAACCACAATTTATCGCTGGTTTGCTGAATTTCAACGTGGACGTGTCAAGCTCAGTGATGATCCCCCTCAAGGTCGTCCAAAAACTGCAGTCACCCAAGAAAACGTTGATGCTGTGCGTAAGCTGATTGAGGAAAATCGACATGTGACATACCGCGAAATTCAGGCAACTTTAGACATTGGCATGAGTCAAATACAAATAATCTTTCATGAATAATTAGGTGTAAAAAAGTTGTTTTCCCGATGGATACCGCATTCGCTCTGTGAAGAGCAAAAAACGGCTCGCGTTACTTGGTGCGTCAGAACTCTCGAAAGATTTCACGCAGGATCCTCAAATGCTGTATACAACATCGTATCAGGTGACGAATCCTGGATATAGGCGTACGAACCCGAAACAAAAAACCAGTCACGAGTTTGGGTGTTCGAAAATGAGTTAAAGCCAACAAAAATTGTTCGTTCACGGAATGTTGCAAAAAAAATGGTGGCCACGTTTGTCTCCAAAACCATATTACGACTGTTCCTCTTGAGGGACAAAGAACGGTTAATGCAGAATGGTATGTTAGCATTTGTTTGCCACAGGTCGTTTCTGAACTCCGTAAAGAGAACTGCAACCGCCGCATCATCCTCCATCACGACAATGCGAGTTCTCACACCGCACACAGAACAAAAGAGTTTTTAGAGCAAGAAAACATAGAATTATTAGACCATCCGCCGTACAGCCCCGACCTAAGCCCTAATGATTTCTATACTTTCCCTAAAATAAATAATAAATTGCGTGGACAGAGATTTTCATCACCTGAAGAAGCTGTGGACGCCTACAAAACGGCAATTTTGGAGACCTCAACTTCCGAATGGAATGGTTACTTCAATGATTGGTTCCATCGTATGGAAAAATGTGTCAAATTTCGCGGACAATACTTCGAAAAGCAATAAATACATTTTTAAATAGTAATATTGTGTCACTTCCTTCATTCCCGAAATTTTCAGTGCCGCCCTGGTACTCCGTGTCTTCGTTTTTATTTTACCAGCAAAACAATTTAAACACATTAATTAGTAATTGCAATCACTAATTGGCCTTAAAATAACAATCATATTTAACTAAGGTGCCTACGGGTAATAAGGCCTAATTAACAAAAATCGTATTTATAATAACCGCACTCGCTTAAGGAGATAATAACAGACTCCTGTTGCACGATAATGTATAAAAGTTTGTAGAGACGCGCTACCCCGCGTCCTGCCACCAGAGTTGCATTATCTATCATAAGATACGACCGCATTGCACCAATAATAAAAATCAGTCCAAATAAATCGTAGGTATGTTTTGTAATCTTTATCTTTATGAATAAATGCTTTGTTGATCTTGAAGATTTGAATAACGTATCGTGGTCAATTCTTTTTAAATTCGGTTTTTCTTAAATACCTGGTTGGCGGTTATTAAGGCCTACTAAATTACACCATAGGCCTTATTATACTCCTTTTTCTTGTGTAGTTTTTTTGTTTTATTATGAATTTTATATCACTTTTAAAATGTTATAAATGCAAATAAATCGTACGCTTTTATTATTAAACGAATGTCGTAGTCAGAAAAAAAAGGTTTCAGCTGTCCAAACAAACAGTACAAAGACAAAGTGTGTCGAAGAACTAAGGCTTTGACCTTAGAAGCTATTAAATTATGTCGTGTAAATTTTTGGTCCTGCGCCTAAGCTCTCTCGGACCGTGTCGGATTACGATTTGATAATTGTGAGGGAATAGAGTGCACCTGTGCTTGCGCATACATTCGGATACTATAATTCTGTACTGTGCTGATGGGCTCGTTTGATAGTCTTCGTTGATACTGGCCACTGTGACAGAAATTTAGTTGGGAGGACACTCAACCTAACAATGAACCCAATTCTCGACTAACCTAATACTCAACTCAACTCGAGACACAACCGACGCATTAATGATAATCACGAGGAGTGAGTTTGTTTGTCAGTTTGTTCATAATTATACTAATTATTTTAAATACTGTTATGCAAGGCAATTTATATATATTTTTTAGAATTTTAAAGTCTTAATCTCTTAATCTCTCATTCATGTGATTACTGATCACAAATATTAAATATGTTATGTATAAATTGATTATTAGAGTTCTTTAAAGCAGTAGGCCTTATTACCCTACCATAGTAAATTAAGGCCTATTAGCAAGGTTTTACGAAATGTTTAATTTCGTCTTTCTTTATGGCAAATGTTAAAATTATTCGTTCATACTTTATAGAAACTGTACTGAACTAATGATTTTTGTTAAAATCTGTAGACCAAGTTAGATTTATCAGATTTTATTTTCGATTTTCCCTTAGCTAGGTCTTATTACCTTAGTCTACCTCACCTCAGGTACCTCAGGTACCTTAGTTCTAACAAGTTTCGTTTCTTAAATTATTAAGTTAACATTCATATTTAAGTCGAATTTCAAAATAAACTAATGTCTTTCATTATAAGTAATAATAATAACATACAGCCATTATGTACTCCGTGTCTCCGTTTTTTTTTTTAATTTCATCGGCATACCACATAAAATATAGATACTTATTAAGTATTTACCTAATTAAACACACACACACACACACACACACACACATACATACACACATACATCGTAGGTAATTTTGCTAGGCTTATCTCAATATTAAATATCATTAGGAAGTGAGGCGCCTCCTGACACAGGTATTCTTTTATACTTACTAGGAGGCCGAGGCTCCAATTATTTTATTATTTAGTATGCCTTGAGAAAAAAAAAATAGATTTGAATTTTAATTTTTAATTAAATTTATTTTTTACTTAAGAAAGAAATTTCTGGGGAAAAACTGCACATGGCAGTAAACATTTATCTCCAAGGGTCATAGCATAACCAACAAAAGGCAGGTAGGCTAGCTTATTCCCGAGAACATGTTATTTGAATATTTTTTATTTATTTTAGAACTATCATGGCAAAAATTAAGTTCATTTTTATATTTAATCAGTTTCATGCACTAAACTATGTTTTTTTAATCTTTTTACCGCTTCACATAAAGTCTGTCACTTTCAGGAGGAGGCGAGGCTTAGACGCCCATTACACGCCTATGCAACCGTCAATCAGTTCTATCAATCATGATTGACGTTTTTATGATAGAATAATTTCGACATTACACGCTCATGCTGACTGATGTCAGTCAAACCCAAATTTTCGGAGGGAAAGGACCTAACTATAAACTAAGTTCATTTTCGATTCACTATTTAACTGTAATTTAATATCTTGAAAATAAAAATAAAAAAAACGAATAGGAAAATTTCTAATATTTAATAAACCATGCATGTCACAAGCATGGAATATGTATTAAGATAGACGACAACAATTATTTTATTTTAATATTTTACTTCTTTCCTTACTGTGGTTTAGCTTTAAGCAGTTCCATTTTCTTTTAACACTAAATAATTAATTAAAATAAAATTATAATAAAAATTATGTACAAATTGTAATGTAAAAATTATGTACATCGATTTCTTATAATTTAATCATCCAAGTTTTTGAATCGTCATCATCATTTCAGCCCGTCACTAGTCCACTACAGAACATCATCCCCCATAGACTGCCGCAAAGCATGGTCCTGAACCACTTTCCTTGTTATGACTTTTTCATTTAAGTTATAGTAAAATTAGTATTACTAAATTGTAGTTAATTACATTTATTGTTTGTTTTTGTCTTTCTCAAAAAATAATTAAATATTGTATGGTGTTCTCAACATATACCAAATGTCTGAAAAGCAAATACGTATCATTTGCTAAACTTTTAAATCAAAAACCAATCTATACATATAATAAAACTGTAAATAGCAGATGTCTGTACATTTTATATTTTTGTAATAAAAGTGATTGAGGGGTACTAAAAATAAGTAATTAAATACATTTCTACCATTTTTAGAATTTTCTGTCTGTCTGTCTGTCTGTCTGTCTGTCTGTTTGTTTGTTAACGTATCACGTATAAAGTACTAATTTATATCATAAGAATTGTTAAGGAAATTATAAAGTGTATCTTCGGGTTACATTTAGTCTTTATTTCATTAAAATCAGTTCATTCCATCAAAAGTTATGATAAATATTCTGAAGTATGGGTAGGGAAGTATAG